CTTTTGAGTTCAAAGAATTTCAAATAATGACAGGGGAAGAGTTCTTGGACTGTAACACGGATGTAAACAAAGGTCACGAATCACTCTCAATAATTACAATGCATTATCATTACTTTTTGACTTTAGTCTGCTATCACATAACTGAATTAGACATGAGCAAAGCTCTACTGTGCCTCCAGAGCAATCTTTTGCTGTACACTAAAACCAACAGACCCCAGCTACATTTCTCAGCCAGGAGCTAATGTTTCTGGGTACATGTTACTGTTGCTGTTTCATTTGTCAGTAAAGCCTTATTTACTTGCTTCCTGTTATTAATTATGGGAAACAGGATCTCTTCAAACTGTAGGAGAGGGTCTTTCAACTCCTGTCTAGACTTTTCAAGAAAAAATATTGATGAGCCCTTTAATGTTTGTGCAGTGACACAATCTGAGCATAAAAACCCCCATCGTTACCTCAAACAGCTTAAGGCTCCTTATCACACGTTCACAAAAAAAAAAATCCTTTAAATCACTCGGGCTCACATCCTTATTGTTAGTCACTGAAGTAAGGTTTCCTTTCATAGTTGGATACTTTCTTCATCTGTCACACTGATTAATTAACAGCTCACAGTATGAACCCTGAGCTTAAATAGCCTACTGAAACGAGGAGGAGAGATCAACTTTAATATTCCATAAAAAGCTGAAGAGGAAAAATGCTTTCCTTACTATGAAGGGATCTGTCTTCTAATAATAAAAAAATTAACTAATTTCTGTTCAGTTACATTACATAAGGAGATGAAAGCACCCAGCTTCCGAAGGGAGATTGCAGGAAAGGATTAGGACAGAGGTTGGAGAAGACTTAAGCATTTTAAATTAAACTGTTGGTCGGAAACAACCAAGTCTCGAACACCAGTGAAATTATTTTCATCATCATTAAGAAAAGCCAGTTTATCAACTCATAATGAGCAAATCTATAAAAACACAGTGCCATTGCCTGTAAAGATCTATGGGGAAAAGGCATGCAATTACATGAAATGGAGAGCTGCTAAAACCTTAAAGCTAAAGCTGGTTTTAGCCAAAGCATTTGTTGTTCTCTCACACACACCTCTTCCCCAAACTGTTACAGTCTGGCAATTATTTCAGGAGTTTGACTTTCAACAACTGCAAGTTCTCCCCCTTTTTAAGCCCCTCCAGTACTGCTGAGAGGGCAAAAATTACAGATGCAAGAAAAGCTGACAAATGAGTGCAAGGCCCCTCCTCTCCAGTGCCTCGACAGTCAGAGCCCCTGCCAAAACATGCCTGAAAGCTAGCGAGGAGACAAAGACACAAAGATTCCATTTTTTCAGGGAAAGTAGATTTCATGTAGAAAGTACTAGGGCGAAGAATAGCACACGGGAACACTTGTAATCTCAAAAGCAGAGCAGGAATGAATGTTTCAAGAAAAAGTGAAATTACATATGCTTATTGAGTAAGCTCAACAAATGCTATTTGATACACAGCTGTCTTTAAACTGCTAAGTGCTACAGGGGGTAGGAGAGGGAAAGCTCCCATAAAGACAGGAAAAGATTTTCAGTCATGGAGAACCCTCAGTTTAACACGATTCAAACTAAGAGTTCATGGCTGTTCCTCTAAATCATCTCCTGATAATGCTGTAGTACACAACCAAAACAAAGTCAATCCAGTTTTTTAGCTCAAATCTGTTCAACTATGTTTACTACTAAAAGATGCTTCACCCAGGGTGTTGTTAATAAAGTTGCAATGAGTTTAAAAGCCTGGCACATAGGCACATCCATGTTTTCAAGCTTTTCATAACAAGTTTACTACCTTCATGGTGCTCCTCACTGAGCTGGAACAGGTTGGCCTCTGAGCAGGGGGAGCAGCAGTGAGGTGAATGCAGGCAAGCAGAGCAGGAGAAAAAGCAACAATAGGATTTCTTCTTGAAACTAGTCAAAGCTGGGGGAAAGTCCAATTTATGGTGGGGAAGATTTGGGACAACTCAAGATTCTCACTAATTTAAAAATAAAAAAGGATATTCACAACTGCATATAAGATTAGAAACTATTGTTTTTAGTGTGATTCCAGTCCTTTAGGACTCAGTGGCAAAAGAAACTACTTATGTTAAAAATAACATAACCTCCCACTAGATGGGCAGTTTAGGAAGTAGAGGTGTAAAATGGAGTTTTTAGGCATCAGAAAGATTTTCAGAATGCTTCCAGCTCTGATAATTAGTGCTCATCAACATCTAGCATTCTTACAAACTCTCCACTTGTAATATATTTTGTCTTATGGGAGGCTGCTTCTACAGAGGCACTCAAATTCAGCCCAAGTCCTCCAGTCTTGCAGTAGAACACTAATGCAGTATAAACAGAACATAGAAAATGTTACATAATAAACATTCTGAAAATGTGAATAACACCCTGAATCGACAGGTTTGTGATTGAGGATAAACAACTGCTGAGAACACTCTCTAAAGACCCTCAAGGTCCCTCTGCCTTGCAGGAAGAGCCATGGGCAGAGAGCTCAGCTCTCTGCTGGGTTCACCCTCATGCTCCCCTTCCTTCAGCCCATGAGAATGTGGCACATTTCTGACTCTGAGCCCCAGTGCTGCCTCTCTTGCCTTCTGCTCGTGAAGACTGCTCTGCCAAAAGACTTAAGAAAGGGCTGGTAATCCTTTGACTAACTAATGAATCCCCTTCAGGATATCAACACTGATTGTTACACAAGGACTGGGGACGGTCCAGAACTATTTATTAAAAAACACCCCAAACCAAAACCCAACCCTATTCTCCACATTACATCTCAGGTGAAGTACCAGGAACACCAGAAAACTTGAACACTGCCCATTTAGTTACAAATCCACATTATTTTTAATGAAATTTCTTTATATTCCTTTAGTTGATCCCTCTATCCTCTCACTTGGTAAGTCTAGGCATATTCTAACACTTCATAGCCAGTCAGTATCTAAATTATTTTGAGGGTTTTTATGCATTTTACCATCCAACCATCACTCAGCCCCTCCTAAATGCATTGTTGTGTCCATTTGGTCTCCATTCTCAAACAGACCAAACCACCATTTTCATTTTGTTACTACAGAGAGATCGTAGATGCTATCTTACTGCAGAGATGAATAAAAGTCTGCGTCTCCCAGTCAGATACACCTACTGCCACTTTTCCCTCGCTTCAAATTCTCACCAACTAAATCCCAAACTCTTCCCCTACCCCACCACCCTGAAAGTAGAACTGCTGTACTTGTACACATGAATCAAGAATAATATGACTGCCTGATTTCCAGGAATATTCCAAGATAAAAAGAGATTTACTTCTGAGGTCAGATTCTAGAAATGCTAAGAGAAGAGCTATATAGAAAAAAAGAGGGCTGCAGTTAATGACCTAGGTAAGAGAAAGAGCAGAGAATGAAATAAGATTTATGAACAGTTACAAACATGCTTTATCTTATACAGAGGGTAAACTCATTCTTCAGAGTATCATTACAAAGTAATCTTCACAGACAAAACTCAGGTTATAATCAGATTATAGAAAGAGTGCAGCAGTGAAAAATATTATCACTTGATTTCACACATGTTCTGTCACTCACCTAACACTATTCCTATCTAAATACTTTTAAAGATTACTTGAAAAACAAATGTTAACATTATTTCAACCAATAGAAGCTATTGAAAGTCAACATGAAATCTTGCATCTATGTCTAATGTCTGCCATTGCCACAGAGCTCATTTTAACGGCCTCACGTCCAGGCAGTGTGTGGCACTGGGCTTGAAAAGGAAGGAGACTTATATTTTCCTTGGCACTGGTACAGCATAGGTCCTTAGCATGAAATTTATTAGCATTAATGGGCATTGTGTAATTAAAGCACTGTGCTTTAATGCCCTGAGGGGTGATGGAGCTTTTTTCATGTCCTATAAAACAGACAAATATAAAATGTGAGACTTTTTAAAGCAATTCAAAGAATTCAAACATGCATGCTCCCCCATTAACCATAATAGAGGAGGCGTAGCTGAACAAGATGGATCCGAAATTCTCAAAATGTCTTCCATGAAACCACAAGATGGTTAATACTAGACACCAGGTTTTTTGAGAACATGCTATGTAATTACAGTATTTTGCAAGGCCACAAGTTCTTCAAAAAGTAACTATTAGACCACTAAAAAGTATAGATTTGAAAAAAAAATTTCCAGATTTAATATACTGTACTTAGTACTAAACCTGTTTAAAGGAGTCCAATTTAATAAAGTGGCTTTGAGAAGCAACTCAAATATTTGTTACTTGAGCCCTGGCATTTTCTTTCCTGAATGCCAAGAATTTAGACGGCTTTGAGAATCCCATTACCTAACCTGCTGCACTTCAGTGACAGGGGAAGCATTTATGTAGTTCCTCATATGCTTTTGAATATCACAGGCTGAGATTGGAATAATATTCAGAGCTACTAAAAAACTGCAGGAGTAGTGCAGGTTTCATTAGGATTGATGCATGTCAGCAGTAAAGGTCAGACTGTTACCTGGACCTGCATTTCAGTAGTTAAGCAGGATTAATTTTCTGTAAGAGATAAAAACCAACATACACAGGTCTAGTATTTGATTTTTCAGAAACTCATCTTGCCAACACTTATCTGTAGTACTGCAAAATAATCTTGGGGCTCATTTTCTAACAATTTTTTATTGTATCATATGTCTGAATGATCCTACATGAACAGCAAACCCGAACAGCATGGAAAAAACACCAGTGATGTAACTTTTTATGATGTTTAAACTATTGAAAATATAAGGATTACTGACAGTATTGTGTCACATCTCAATATTCTGAATAATCAAATTGCACATAGAGCTGGCTTGAAGTAAAACATTTTATCTAAAGAACAAGTTAGTATAGATTCTACAAAATCGCTAAGACCTTTACAGTGACACTAGTGATTTTTCCTAGGGGAATGTCAAGATCAATTATTGGCTGATCTATTGGACATATCCTGAGGTATCCAACAAAATTCTTTATTTCTTTACCTTCTAGACAAATCACCACAGTGATACAGACCAGCAATGAAGAGAGCTGAGGGCAATTTGACCAACATCATCCGTGCTGTGTCCCCAGAAATCGACGACACACGTGATCGGGTCTCCAAGGTACATCCCAGACCCAAGTTGCTGTGCCATTCAATTAGTAAATTTTTAAAACAAGACCTTTTCTTCAATTACATTAAGATAATGGCAGCAGGGAGGACTATTACCTTCCATCGAGGAGCCTGCCTTCCCAAATGCTGTTGTTTATTAACACATCATTAACAATGTGCCACCTCAGCCAAATGTGGTCCCAGGTACAAAGTAAAGATCATTACAGAACTCCACCACCTGCCTCATTTGAGCAAATCAAGTAAGTACATCTGAATCACTGACTGCACAAAAATATTCAAATGCTACTTTTCATCCTCAGCTTTGTGCCTTTTTTGCCCAGCCCATAAACCTTCTTCTGAGGCATCAACAGAACCTTGTAGGGACAGAGTTAAACAGAGAAGTTCTCGAAACTAAATCATTTTTCTTTTCAAAAGAACAGGACCCCAGGTAAATGATGCCTTTTAATACGGCACATGAAAATTTCAATTATGGAAATCATTATTCTAGGCATTATGTGCCATTTTATATTCCCAGCAGGATGTTTTTCATCTCATCAAGAGTTTCCAAGGCTGTTTAGTGCTCCTGTATATGCAAAACACATTTAAGGGCCCCCAAGAAGATCTGTTAATTAAAAAGTCTAGTCAAGTGGTCAGACAGATTGGAACTTGAGGATTATAGGTAAGAGGGATGAAATGAAGGCTTGGAAATTACAATTTCTCTTTCTGTGGTAGCAGCCAAAGCAGCTGTTATAAACTGGGCAAATTAAAGACGTGGCTGACTAAGCCAGCAGTCTGGAAACAAGACATTGCAAAAACATAACAGCAAGTCATCTGCACCCCACTTTTAAAAAGCCAAAAGTGCTGACCATTTCTTTTTTACTCTCTTCCTGTTATTCTGATCTGTCACAAATATCCTCCAGCTGGTACCCTTCCAGCCCTTGTTCACCAGTTCTAGTTTCCCACCCCCATCTTAGGGAGTTAGTAGGAATTCCCAGGACTGTGGCAAGTGCTTCATAGTGGGAGTAGTCAGCAAACAGAAAAGGACATGTTTAAAAGAGGAGCAGGTGAAATAACAGAGTTGAAGTTCTGTTTTTACATGAACAACTCTCATATAAAAAAAAAAATACTAGTCTTCTCATACTGAACAATATTGATCATTCCTTGAGAGCTGTTTCATCTGCCCAGTACAGTCAGCATCTAGCTACAGAAAGGTCTCCATTTAGAAAGCCAGATTGCCACCATATTTTCCAGATACATTTATTAAGTGTCTTGTAATTTACTATTTTCAAGGGAAAAAAACCCCTAACAATCCAACCCTTTTTCTTTCTACATTTTCTGGTGTGTTTTCATAAATAGTCTTAAAAGGGCTAAAAATAGTTTTTGCCATGAGCTAATGAGGCTATGCATATTTTTTCCATATCAGAAAGTGATGAAGGATCTATAAATACGTTACTTAAAGACCCCAAAAACCATCCCAGAACAACCCTTTTTCTTTTCTCAACAGCAGATACAGACTTCCTTTTAGAAGCAGAATAAACATTAGTTGCTTTGTTTAGACAGCTTTTAGGTCAGTGTTGCCAAGCTAGAATTTGTCTCAATTTATATTAACATAAACCTGTGGCCTATTTTTGATCTCATTTTATACATCATGAATGACTACCTCCCAATCTATTTCCTCTATGCTTATTTGTATTCAAGACAAACTCATCATTTCAGATGTGTGGTAGATGAATTTTTAAGTGTTGCCATTTCAATACTACACTAACGATGCTGTTAATAATATTGTTGCATTGAAACATTGCATCTGATTTGAGGCACACTCAAGCCCTTTGCAAACAATTATTCATTAAATACATTTGAAAACTGTTTATGAGATTCATACCATAAATCTTTAACAGACACAAAATTGATACAGGCAAGCTGAGTACTCCATTTTTTATCAGAAATTAGTTTTAGGTGGCATGGGGCCTTTGTCTGATGTTTTTACCTGAAAAAAATCAATTGCCATTTTGCATTTTCATACAAGTCTAAGAGCATGAGAGAACAGAAGAAGAATTCTAAAAGTTAAACCTCATATTCAGCACAGCCTCTCCCCCGCCCCTCTGTTATAGTGGGGATTTGAGGAGGTTCTTTACATCTCCTCCCACACAGTTTCTCTGCTTCATAAGCAGAAAGCAGCTGCTGGTTCTTTCAAGTCTAGCGGTTAGTTGACATTTACCAATAGTTTATGGTTTTCATTCTACCTTAGCAAGAAAAAGGGCTAGAATATCAGCTTTAAAGAGTGAATACTAAATCTTTATATTTCTAATCCCCTCCCCACCCCAAACAGGACGTGCCTGCAGCCAAGATCTTTGGTGGGCCTAAAGGAAGGGGCAAAAACAATCTGTGAACCAGCACAGAGAGTAGGACCAATGGGTCCTGGCTTTACTGTTAAAATTCTTTCCCCTGGAAAACACCTCCATGCAATTCTTGACCAGTAGTGCTGATTTAATTTCCCTTTCTATCCCACTTTCTAAAAAACTACTGTGTACAGGTTTGGTTGCTTGACAAACAATATATGACTTGACAAACAATATATGACTTGACAAACTTGTCAGCATTATTTAGAAACTGCCATAAAAAGAAAGAAAAATCTTGCATTTATACCTAGGATATGATGGTAGAAATGGGAGTAATGAGAAAGGTCTATGATATATCACAGAAAACGCTATTTTCCAGAGCAGGGAGAAAAAACCCATCTCAAACATATAAAGAAAGATGTTATGTCCTGCAAACACTGCCTAGCACACACTTGTGAAAGGTTACCCCCCACAGTTTAACTCCCCCTTCCAGGTACAAGCGCACGGGCTGTGACACAGTCCTGATGTCTAACCTCACTCCCAGAAAAATGCACCGATATGGCTTTGTTTCAGGTTTTTCTTTCTGACATTTGTCTTGAAAATAATGAAAATTATCATTTGTTAAATATATGAAATTAATATAGCAAAATACAGATGAAAAATAGTACTGTTCTGGCCACTGTTTCAACAGTGGAAGGCTCTTGCTAAAATAATTTTCAGATTTCCAGGTTTTTGAACTCATAATAAACAAAATGTGGCCAGAGATGGCTCTCCTTTAGGGCAAGTTTATACTCAGAGGAATCAGGAAAACAGAGGTGATCTGATAAGCAAAATTCCCCTCAAATCAGAAGGTTAAAAATGCCATACTTGTAGTTGTTAACAACCTGCTAAAAGCCCCAGAAAACCTAAACTCAGAAGTCAGCTGGTAAGACTGTGTTCATTTCATGGACTTTTTCAGAGCAGAAATACAGAGTAAAAGAACCTTTTATCTGATAATATATACTAACAAAGAATTTTAAAGAGGTAACATTAACAGGATTGCTGTAGATGCAAAAAGGAACTTGGAACATGCACTTACTGCATGGCTCCAAACTTTACCTAATGTGTTTAAAGCCACAAAAGTAAACTATCCCAGACAGCTCAGCACGCAGACAGTGCAAGAAAATGCTGTACTGTTTTTTCCAGGTGTAGGTCAGGACCTTTGAAGATATTTATCATTGAACTGGGTTTCTTCTTCCTAAATCAAGGCTTCCATGACCGAACATTGTAGAGGCAGTTATAAAAGCCATACTGGCTCCCAACATCTGCAGGAACTCTGTAGTGCAGCAGTTTGCTGCACACGTGTTAAACAGGCAGCACTAAAAACTATAAAAACAGGTCAAAGCAAAATAAAAAAGTACTTGAAATGAAGAATTTTACATTGATAGCAGGAAGAAAACATGGAGACAACCTTTTCTGCAGGTCAGCAAGCTAAAAGTAGCAAGGGAAAAAGCAGTTTGCAGCAATCCACACACAATAGGTCTTGGGCATTACTTCTTTTTATCATGTATTGCACCTACAGGGCACTGGATTTTTCTAAACAGCAACCAAAGCATACTTTCAAGTCCATCCAACAAATATCTGAATGAATGACATAGCAGACTGAAATATTTCAAAGAGATCAAACATACACCAATGGCTACCTCTTGTTCCCTCGAATTAAAAGTGAAGAGCAGCTTATCTGGCAAGCAGAACCTAATTTTAAAATATCTTTTCTAAAGAATAAAGGAGAAAAGCACCAATCTTTAGGCAAGGTGGGAAATCAGTTGGAGATGGACTGCAGTGTCTGTTTCTTTTTGCAAAATAGTGATTCAGAAGCACATTCAAAACCACATTTAAGTGGTAAACATTAAAACATGAAGTAATAAAAGTGAGGATCAAGGGAGCATGATTCAAGGATCACCTTTCTTCCCCCACTGATAGAAGCTTTAGAGAAAATCAGATATATCTGTATTCAAGTACATGAAAAAATGATCTGGAGTATCTTAGCACGCATGCTTTTAGACAGATATTTGACTGATTTCAATTAGCATTTGTACTTCAAAAGAGATGATGTAAGTCAGAGCAGCCAAGATTTTTTTCATGTTTCTGTATGAATGGAAAAGAGATCTAGACACATCAGACTGTGACACAGACATCAGACACATCTTCCATAGAGAGTCACTGTGGCTTTATGAAGAGGTGTTTTTTCCCCTCAAACTTGTTTACTTCTGTTTGGTTTTGAATTTTTTAAAGAAGCTCTCACATTTTCAACATAAGCTCTAGTTTTCCACTATGCATAAAGTAAAATAAGTACACCTACAAGTGCACAGACAGCAAGGTGCTTCTTTGCAATACTCAGTGGAATAAACACAAGAATTTTCCATGGCTCCAGAGCTCTCCAGCCACAGCATCCTCCTTACATACAGTTGCTTCAATTTCATTACTAAGAGCAAACTTATCATACTTTTCTCATTACTGGACAACACAAACAATGGATCTATGCATTATTGTTAAGACTGATCAGAAAATAATATTCCTTTCTCAGAGCGATAAAAAGATTTTTGAAATTTTATTTTTAGACTAAAGGGGAGTATGTCTAAGTTATTTTAATTTTCTTTTGGGAAAAGGAGCTTATCATAAAAGAAAGAGGAGGAGAAAACATAGGAAGCATGATCACTTGCCAGACAGATAATCTGATCATCAAGACTTCCACAGAAAATATCAGAAACCCAGGTTTCCAAGCCCTTCTCCAAAGACAACAGGATTCTGACATTTTGGATGCACACCAAAACACCAGGCCATCAACCCTTCTAGGGCAGCAAGGGGTTTTTTTTCCTTTCCTCACACAAAAGGCCTTCCCAGAAAAACTTCCATTAAAATATGAATTTCTTAAAAACCTCCTGCATTTTCCCCAGAGAGGGAAAAAAAAATTAAGCTTTCAACCAGATGTAGTTACAGTTTTGCATGGAACTGCAACCAACAGAATGAGAAAAACAAAAAAACTTCTATAAAGTTCTGGTAATACCTTTAATCATATTACAAGCTTAATGCATTACATTCATTTTTTAAATTAACACAGTTGGACTTTTAGATCAAACAGAAGGAAAAAAAAGATTTCTATCCACCAAAAGCATGTTATAAAAAAACACTGCTGCTCAAAACAGGTCAAATATTTTCTTGTGCCTGAAGACTAACAAATGGGATTTTCCATAAGGTAGTCATTAGGTGTTTTGTCTTTATTTTTGTTACTTTTTAAAATGGTAATATATAATTTCTACCCCTCTATTTAATGCACTCTAATCTGTATTCCTGGGAATAGCAATTTTCTTAAGACACTTCTTTTGGCATTAGTTGTGATAGGATTGCTTTCTCTCATGTTTGCATTTTGCAGACCACAAGACTCAGAAGATCACTGTGAAACAAGGACACTGGGCCAACCCATTCTGTTGGTATGACACAAAGTCCAGCCCAGTCTGGCATTCCTTCCACCCTGAAGGAGTCTCACACCAGGTAGAGAAGCTAACTTGTTTCTTTGCTGTTGAATGACTACCCATTTTTTCCCCAGCCTTCCTCCTTAGGCAAAATGAACATTTTAGCTTTCTGGAGAACCTTTAAACTGCTGCTGTCCAAGGGCCACAATAAGATGTGGGAATTGCACCCAGTCTGGGGGAAGAAGGGGGCTGGTGGTGCAGACCCCCACACTTTCCCTTTCTCGCAGAGCCAAGCCAAGTCCATTAGAACTGACAGGGCATGCAGAGCACAGGAGAGAGGGCTAATTGAGTTTAAAAGCTGTGTAGCTGCAGTCTCATTTAGGAAATGCCTCCAGGCCTGCTCAGGAGTTTAGTAATAAACCTAGACCACAAAGCAAACTGAATGTTCAACTCTTCTTTCCCAGAAGGGAGAGAAGATCCTTTTCTCCACACTCCTAAGTTCATGTTGTTAGCCCCTCCAATCTTTCTCCCACAAAGTAGGATTCCAGGAATCATCACCATTTTTCTTATCCTGAAGGCAGAACTGCATACTGTTAACAGTTTCTATAATCTCGATTACATATTCCTATTACAATAAAACATCATTATCATCACATGAAATCAAGAACCTGTCTTGCTAAATTTTGCTAAAAAAAGTAAATTTCAGCCTAAGCCAATTTGGAAAATAGAAATGGCCACAGAGAGTTTCAGAACACAAATAATTCACATTTGATCTTTTCTGCCACAAGTGGCAACTATAATTGGTACATGAGAAGATTTCTACCCTAACCAATTGATCACGAAGGCATTTAGATATTCTGTAGAGATGATTTAAAATGGGATAACTCACAACCAGAGTACTCACAGTATTTAATGGAGCTATTAAGTGTGAAAGGAACCCAGGACTAGCTTCCAACCCAGTCACGAATACATTCAAGAAATTTGAACAGACCATAGTAGGACATATTCTGAAATAATACCAAAAATATGGGAACAACCACAACTAAAGGTCTTCTCACATGCTTTGTTTTTACTGACTCTAAGCTTTATTAAGCTTTTAGTCTCCTATAAAAACAGCTCCATGAAACAGCAGGAGAAGCACCAAAGCTGAATAGCCAGAAACTCTTACACAGATACAAACTGTAATCGTGACTAGAGCAAGCAGTTGCACAATTAAATTGGAGGGTCTAGAGCCCAAGTCCATCCAGGACAAACTGAGGGAACTGGGATTATGAAGTCTGGAGGCCCAGGGGAGAATTTCTCACTCTCTATAAGTACCTTACAGGCAGCTGAAGCAGAGCATATCTGAGTATCAAATGTCTTTTTTTCCCAAGTAACGAGTGATAGGATAAGAGAAAATGGCCTCAAGTTGCACCAGGGGCCATTTAGATTTGATATTAGGAAAAAATTCTCCACCAAAAAGCCTGTCAAGCATTGGAAAAGGGTTCCCAGAGAAGTGATGAAGTCACCATCCCTAGAGGTACTTAAAAGACATGCACACATGGTGCTCTGGGACAAGACTTAAGTAGTAGACCTGGTAGTGTTAGGTTTGCTGTTGGACACAATGATCTCACATGCCTTTTCCAATGTGAATTATTAAATGAATGACAGGTTCAGATCACTGGCTGTGTTACCATGTACGCTGCTTTAGATAATGGCTAATTCCTTCCTTACATGACACTTAAAATGTCATAATTATATTCTTAAATCCAAGTGGTTCTTGCAATCACCTGGGCAATATGAATGCATTTAAAGACTGAAATCCATAATAGAGTTTCCTTCCTAATGTATACATACATTCCTACAGCCACAGTGAAATTATTTCTACAGATACAGCATTATCAGAGAGCCAAATTGTATCCTTGCTGTCCAACAATTACAGCACTGCTCCATAGAGCAAAACAAGAACATCTGGAATTCTGTTCTTGTGAGGGCAGCTGGGACTGCACTGCTATGTCAGGAAATGAACTGTGCTCAGGTTATAAAATATACTTGGGGCTGATCACAGAAAACTAACAACCATCCTGGTACTGAAGAAATTACTTGTGTACAAGGTATAAGGGAAAATTTGTCAAAGTGCATAATGTATTTTTCTGACATGGAGAAATTGTGCAGATTCACTCTATATTTAAATCCCATTGAGCATAAATAGTTCCCTTGCATTTCAGAAATTATTTCCTAGGTAGGAAAACAGTGTGATAACTAAGACTGATTTTACCAAACCTATGACTAAGGAGAGTTATTTCACTAACTCATACTCTTATCTAACTAAGAACAAGTTTGGGTAAATGCTACCTATTACTTCTCTCAAGTTCTGCTTTGGTTTCATGTTACTCCTCAGAGTTTGTGGCAACAAGTGCAAGACAAATTATTAGCTTCACTTCAGACAAAACTGAAAATACTGATTGCAGTAGCCAAGAATAGTGGCCTACATAAAATCTTCCTTTATTAATATTATTGAGTGCAGTGCCATTCATAAGATTCCATCTTCGTACATATTGGCATCGATATTTTGGAAGAACCTGAGTTGTTCTATGAATGCCCAGGTTTAGTAGAAAGCCATTTTGATGATCACAGACTTGAAAGACCCTGTTTCTAAACACTTGAGACACACTGGATAAAAAAATGCCCAATAAATTACTTCTGCTAAGATGCAAAGTTGCTAAATTAATACAAAATTAATAAGAATAAATTAATTATTCTTCTTCAATTCTATTTACCTTCAATATTAAGTAGATCCACGTCTACTCCATATGCTTTGAACATTATGTATTATTTGTTTTTAAGTGAGAAAAGAAAGGCATACCTAACTACCCACATTCAAATTTGAGACTTGTACTATAAAGAGAAACCACTTTGCTGAAACTCCATACCTATGCCTTTAACAACTTTTAATATTTTGTTATAGTTCATTTAGTATAAATTGGCTTTAAGTTTTGTTAACACTGCATGAATATTTCGAAGGAGTTCATCCACTTAGCCAAAATTAGGAACAGCTAAGTATTTACATGGTATAGTACCAGACCTACACAGTGAACCAGTTTAAAGGGGGGGGGGGAGCCTAAGTGAGATTTACAAAGGCATTTGATCAGGATAAAGAAATAATGCAACTATTGTAACAGTCTCCTGTTAGAAGTGGTGGAGGGAGCACTTTGAACGAGTTTTACTTACACAGCATTTCTTCTCCTTTGAAATATGCTCTGAAAAAAGCTTCACAATTAACATATTGTATACATTTTTCAAGGTTTTCAAAGATCAGGAACTGTTTCTGGAAAGACTCACTCCAATTTGGCAAATAATTAGAGCAAACATTACACCAAGGTGCATTAAATCTGTGAGGGTACAGAAACGTGCTTACATACAGTTAAACTGAATAAGAAAAACTAAGTCAGATACAATTTTAAATGGCATCAGGAAAGAAAAAGGAAAAAAGAGAGCAAGGGAAAGGACAAGAAGTTTAAGCAGCAGAAAACATTACAACAGCCAAGTGGAAACAAATGAGATATTATAGCTGGGGTTCAGTCACAGGACTATGTGTAACTCTGTTACAGCTGAGCACCAAGAGCTTCTGGTGAAACTAGCGCTGTGTGTGACTTCAGGAAAAGGATAAAGAAGCATATTCAAAAGACAACGAACACAAAGAAAACACAGTCATGACTATCGACAATAGTGAATTCTGTACCGAATGTGTGAACTGGACATGAGTGAGGCAAAATAGAACCAGCCCCCCTTGGCCTGGGATTTTTGCAGTGACACAAGCCAAGCAATCTAAACAGAAAATGTCTGTGCTGGGAGAAGAAGACATAAAACACCACAAAAACAAACTGCTTTCCTCATGGAAGAATGGTAACTTTGGACAACACTTGGCATTACAAGTTCAAAGGGTGATTTCATCTGCATTTTAAGTACAGACCCAGAGATTTTACAGTATTCCTGTCTCCACACTATTGTTTTGTGTGCCATTAATGGCATTTAAATTATAGACCTGCTGCAGCCATGTAGTCAAAACACCACATCACCCGATGAGACACTGTATTATAATGTCAGTGTGTCTGTGTTTTAGCTGTGCTTTCATATACTCTACTTCTCTTCAATCACCCTTTTTCTCTGCCAAAGGATAGATACAAGAGACAAGTCTATCTTTAGCTCCACAAAAATTTCTTACTCAGGCAGCTGCAACACTTCATTCATCACATATCCAAGTCTCCTGTTTACAGCAATGAAATTTTTAGACGTACAAACAGTACAGAGGCAGATAAAAAAAGCCATTGAGAACTTAAAATGAAAATACAGAATATGGCTAGGGAGTCAGAAATAATATGCTTCAAATTAATTTCTAAAATATATCAGGTGAGATTTCTCATTTCTTTTGGGTTATTTTGAGTATTAGGTATTTTTTGTATTTACTTCCAGTGAAGTATTTCATATTTACTGAAATACTGTTTCCCAGAACCATCATATTGTATGTATTGACCTTTACATACAGTTATTCACAATGACAAATATTGATTAAATAACAACTTATTCTTTGACAGAACCTTAAAAGAAAATATATTGACATTACTGAACAATTTCATGACTAAACCAGAAACACTTCTTTTTCTAAATTATACTAATAAAAAGCTAAACTGGTCATAGCAAGTTACTGAAGAGCTGGGTACTAAATTCAGAATTTTAACCAGCATTTAAAACTTTTTTCAATCTCAAAAGCTTCAAGCAAGCTATTTCAAGGTCAAAAAATTGAGGGGTGTGTGGGGAGACATCTGCTCCCATAAGCTGGTCTGCTGCTTGTAGCCCTCAAATGGACAATCTTCATTTGAGATGAAATATTTATATATGGAACAATCTTCAAGACTCCATTATTTCCTACTTTCTGCATGTGTAATTCATCATTTCAAGCACTCAGATTCTCAAAGTATTCACATTAAGAAAAAAATGCACAATATTAAGTTAGTCAGCTATTTTTTTCTGTATTGGCCTATTTTTAATGCCATATGCAAACCGGCATTGATTTTTGCTTATTAAAAGCATAGTCTCAATTCAGAAGAGCAAATATCAGGAATTCATGAAAACTTTCGTGCATGTTCTAAACTTGCCAAGAACATCTAGAGCAACTGAATATATTTAACAATTGAACTAAGCTTTTACAATTGTTTCTTCTGAGCAAGGGAAGACAAAGCAGCCTACAATTTTCTTACAAAATCTTGAAATAAGTTTACTTTTTTCTAAATGAGAAAACTTTTAATATCTTAGCAATGTAGCTTCTTTATTTCTTTGTTCTCCCCCTCAACGTGATGTGATTTATCTCCTCCTACACTCCATTTTCAATATCATCCCAAGTTACAATGATTTGGCATTGGACAGAGGATTATGGAAGCATAACAAAATTCCACCCAGCTTTTCACTCATCCTTTCTCACAGTCAAACCACAGCAAAAGGCCACCCCACTGTAGGCATTGGAGAAATTCACGCATACATAGCAAGATCGCAAATGTTTGGGGTTTTTTTCATGTGTCAATAATCAAAAGGATACATTTCCTATTCCTGACCTTCAGAACAGAAAGCTCAGTATCATTCAGATACCGAGGCACTGGACATAAGCGAGGTAGGAAGGGACCTCAGTCCCTCACCTAGCCCAGTGTGCTACTCAAACCTGAGGAAAACCTGGCCTTACCCTGCGCTGAGTGTCTAGTCCAAATCTGAAGTATCATCAAGATGGAAGATAGCAGCCTCTACTCACATGTCAGTAATAATACAAGGCAAAACTTTATATACTTATGTGATAAAAAATGTACATAGGACCTTATATTAGCCAATGACTGAATTGGAAGAAATGCACATTTTAGCTGTAATATTTAACTATTCTTCATGACATGTGCTCTCCTTTGTGAAAATAAACAGCTGTGGTATGTCAGATACTACCCATGGTAACTACTGCTAAATGCACTCAATTTACACTAGACCATTAGATAATGGTGTGTTAGGTGACTTGGCACGATCACCAAATCTTGATATGGATGATCCTCTGCAGATACTCTCAGTTTTTTAATCTGACCATATTTTTATCAATGCCCCACTAATATTTAATTTCTTCTCAATTCATGTCATTCACAACAGCTACCTCAAAAGCCCTTAAGGAGCTAGTGGAGCCAGCCTAGACTAGATTCATTCCAAGTACTGGTGGTTTGTTCTGACAATTCACACAGAAAGTCCTCCTTGCACATCCTTTCCTAAACTCAGCTCCGAAATTTCCATTTAACTTCACTAAGAGGAAAGTAAAGTAACATCAGGCCCTTTTCAAAACCTGCTTTGAAGACATACTGTCTAGCCCAGAGATAGCCCTGGAACAACTCACTGTTTGTAAGCTTTTGAATGTGACAATCCCCCCAAAAGAATCTATTAAGAGATACGCAGTTTGGATTCTCAAAAACAGATCTTCTGCACAGAGTTTGCCTCCTTTAGTTGATCTCTGACCTTTAAATAAGGGTTAAATACCAGATATTCTCTTCACACATCTTTTCAAAAGATGTGGTATTGCCTGGCAAACATTTCATTCTTACTCAAAATCAGCTGGCTGTAATCTGTGTTTCAGGTATAGAATGAAGGAACTTGGGAAAATTAGAATACCTTTTACTCTATGCTGTGCTCCAAACTGGGATATCAGGCCCATTTTTAAACTTACTGATATGTGCTACTGATGAGGCAACAGGAAATTCACTGACAAGAGGAAGTGGACTCCATTTGAACAAAAACCAAATTGAAAATGATCAGTACCCTCTGTATTCCCTCTTACAAGTCACAAGTCCCACATTAGACTATGGATTTCCAAGCGTTTCAGGGATATTAATGATTGAATGCATTCCATTTTACACCTTGTTGTATTTTTTTATATCTTTTTCCTTTTAAATGGAAGGAAAACACCATTTTCTTACACAATTTAGGATGTATCACAAAGAAATGGGTGTATTACATTTCCAAAGCATGTGTTCTTCAATACTTGTATAGAAAAACACAAAATTAAATGTTTAGCAGATATTATTGGTGGAGTGCTGATACAAATAAGCCTTTACAAAAAGCAATACAATAATATTTTTCTTTTCCTCTCAACTACATAGAAAGTTTTTGCTCTGTGAAGTCCAGCAAACAAAAATATTTGACACAGTAAAAATCCTTTTCCACTCGTGACCATCAGAGAAATCTATTATATTGTGTCTCAAAGACCCTCTTTTATTCAGACCAGTTAACACTCAGTCATGTTTTTGGTAACCAAATTTTGAATTTCCTGATAAAATATTTCTGTGCATTCATGAGTTACAAATTTTTCAGCCATTTCCCTGGTTTCTCCAGATAAACTCTTTCAACCACGTCTTCTAATTCTAACTTGCATACAATGATAGCCTGACTGTCTGGAATGCTTAATTGCTATCGACAACAATCCAGCTGCACACGTTTAATCATTTCCTTGCACAGTCAAGAAGCAGGCACCTATGTCCAGGGACATGTGATGGGACTGATGGGGACACAAGGAGGTAGAAACTATTCCTCCTGTCCGCACTTTTCACTGCTCCCCATCACTCAAATCCATGGGGTTGTAGAGAAACTTGCAGCAGGCCTACCATATCTATGATTTTTAAATACTGTTATAGATTTAATGATACGAAAATCTAATAAATTTGAGTAAAATTTAAGCTACTACAGGAGAAAGAGTATGCATATCAGATCAATAATTAATTACTTTTTTAATCAGATGATTAGATATCTTCTGGAGGGAACATGAATTAGCACAACTCTGTTTTGCTGTTCATCCAGACACCTCTTTTTAAGCTGCAGGTTTCGACAAACATTTTCAATCAAATATCTGGCACATGAAACATTATCAGTTTTCATTATTAAGGGCCTATGTTTGAGTTGAAGAAATATGGAGAGAATACCTGAAGAGCAAAGAAACCTAAACCAACTCCAAAAGAAAAAAAATTTCCAAACTCACAGAAACATCTATACTTGCATTCTGGTCCTGAGAAAATAGCTAATATAGGAAAAGCTTTCTGATCATAATTTTCCCAAACATAAGAAAAGCAGGAAACTATGTAAATGCAGTAAAATGAAAATGCCAAACCTAAACAGAATCACAAGTGAACATACATGAAAATTTCAACAAGAAATTATATAAATAGTGCACTGAATTATCTTCAGTTTATAATTACCAGCTAGTCATAAGCCACAGACACATAACCCCTTGCAATGCAATTGCCCAGCTGCCACAGTTCACAACAGAGAGCGCTCCCAAGGCTATTATTTCCCTTTTTCCAGTGTATTTCTGCAACATATTTTTGAGTTTTATCTTTAGAGTCCAGCTGGAATCACGCTTCTGTTGGCAGCCAGTTTTCCCCCACAAACTCCCTCCCCCATGAAGGGAAAATGCAGAATGGTGGCGCAGTGGGAGGAGAAGCCGGAAAGTAAAGGGGGAACACACAATCAGAAGCAGTAGTTCTACCAGACCCGTGTATTAGGCAGCATCTTTTTAGTCATAATAACTCTTCAAATGCACCTCATCAGAAGCTATTACACACCACACCTCTCACAAGAATAGGCATGTTTGCTATGTTTCTGCGCTCTCATTTTACATAAGCAACCTTTGTTCTCCTTGTCTCAAATTAACGAATGCAAAATCAAATGAAAGTCAGCAAGATTCATACTATAGCATATTTGTACAAGTAGTTTTTCCAAGTATGCCCAAAAGGCATCTAGAGAAGAGTAACTAAATTAATTTCAATTACCTGATCTTCTGAACTATAAACAAAAATCAGCATAAAGTTTCAGTAATAAAGCAGTCAAACATGAGTAAGGAAGCTCAAAACTCAGTTCACTTCTTTCAAAGTCAATTTAAAAGGAAAATACCTTAGGAAATCCCCACCTGAAAAGCAAAGCACTCCTTTAATTAGGCCAACTCAAGTTGACATACACAGAATAGAAGAAAATTGCACTTTTTAAGGTTCAGCTTTGCAGATAGGAAAGGCTAAAACTCTCTTACACTAAAGGTAAATTATAGCATCCGAAATAAAGGTTATCAAAGGAGAAAAACTGCCTTAAAGGTCATAGGCTGCTCCCACTAGTAATTCTACATATTAATAATCTTAAAACTAGAAATTTCTCTCAGAGCTGTATTCCAACATGTTATCTCCAAAAAAGAACCTGTAAGATGCAACAAGCCTTCTGGTTTTGTCTGTCTTGTTGACAGATTAATAAACCCTACAGTTTGCTACATATAAATATTATTTTCGTTTATATTCTCGGGTTTAACTTTCAGTGTAAGATTTAGCAAAAAGTTGATTTGCATTCTAAAAATCCTTTTCAAACCCTCAAATTCAAGTGCTAACATTTTCAGCTATCAAAGTCATATGCATAAATACCAGGCTCGTGCCTTTATATTTCCAGAATTAGCAGTTGAACCTAAGCTTTTTGATAATGGAAACAGATTTTGGGGTTCTGGTTTACCTGCTAAACCTCTTCCTGGAAAGCTGTGGAGCTGGAGAAAACACATCCTGCATGCAGATTTCTTGGTTGTGCAGTGTCACACCTCACCCAGGAGCTGTCATTTCAGCAGAAGGAGCAATATCAACTTAGACCTAGGAGGAAATCACAGCACCCAGCAAAGAATACATTAGCTTCCTAGTTAAGGACAAGAGGAGTCAACCCACAGTCATTGCAGCCATTTCCTAATTAGAAGAGTCCTGGAAATAGAGCAACCAAAGTTCTGAACTCAAAGGTCAGCTAAAAACTGCAGTTATCTTCCAAGCATCCATACCCAAAATATCCACAGAGATGTATATCTAGGCAATCCGTAGAGCTGCCTAAAAAAACTGCACACAGAAAAATACGCTCAGAAGCCAGCAGGTTGAAGGTAATCCTCCTAAACTATTTGGGGGACTAATGAGAGCCAGAGACATAGAACTGCAGCCTTTAAACTTTTGCTGGCCTTAAAACAATATGGCCAGAAATTCTCTCCTGGAATTTGGCCCTGAAAACACTTCTCTGCCAATTGACAAAGGAGCAGGCTCTTGTACTGCATATCTTAAGTGAGATTGAAAAATTAATTCTATTTCTTCTTATACAAACAAATGGCTCTTAGCATTTTTAGAAAGGTCCCTGGATTCTACAAAAACTGGAAATGCCATGAAGATGCATCTGCAATTATGAACAAATTTGTTTGCACATTTGCCATCAGAATTACTTTTTCCGAGATAATTTTAATATTACACCATTTTAATTTTCAGCATGGCAACTGTGCACAAGCATCATCTGGGTGGTGAATGCTGGGGTAGCTGAACTGCTGTATAGGAACTCTGCTGGGTGGTTTTCTGTGCATGTGCAAGGCAGTGTGATATCTGCCTTGCTTAGACTTGACTGCAAGCAAACCAGTTCTTTAAAACAGAGGAATTTCTAAAATCACAGAGCTAAAGGTCTGGCAAGTGAAGAACTAAATGACAAATACCACATCAGCTGAACATAAAAGCATTCCATGTAACAGAAGATACCCACACTTTAAGACCGGAGACCAGTTTAACTCCTTAACCATGCAGGATGGCAAAACATTTGTTACATAACAGCAACTTCACATGGCATTTTTACATCCTGCCATCTTTTCACAGGAGAACAGTAGATTAGACTTCTACCGACTCTGAGAGACGGGGAGTGGAGCCAGCAGCAATATTTAGCAGAGTGACTGATTTCTGGCACCATCTAGCTTCTCTGCAACAGGAATCTGGCAGCCTGGTAGGTGCTTTTCAAAGACACTGATTGAATAATTGATACTATTGCTATACAAATGCTCAAGACAGGACAAGAAAGAATAAGAAATAAAGTAGGTTTGGGGCTTAAGACCTACTCTTTTTTTTTTTTTTTTCAAAATAAGGATTGTGAAGCAAAAATCCTGGGCAGAATACCAAAGCCAAGAGAATGCAGATTCTGTTCATCATTCAGCTTCTGACTATGCAACTCTGCCAAATATCTATAATATATATAAAAGTATTAGAAAAAAGAAGCCATAATGCAAGAAGACTATTAATTGTTCATTTTCATGAGATACGGTATAATCTGAAAAGAACAGATTTGTTTTGACCAGTGGAACTCTTCCTAATTCCACTCAGGAACTGCAAAATTCCAATGATTATTTCTAATTGTAAGACAGTGGATTTATGTTCATTCACTGCACTTAAGGGGTTTTGAACACTGAAAACTTCAATCCCCCACCACCAGCTCTGTATGGAGAACTGCTGACCATTTGAGAAAAGCAGACATGCTTTGTGCTGAACGTCATCATTCATTAACTGATGAGATATACAGCTTGTGCTCTGTAAAATTTTGCAGAAAAACATTTACTTGTCAGCATGGGGACATGTTTACAGACTCACACTTTAGTAAACTAGAAAGGAAAGGAAGACAAATAAGGTTGGTTTATATCCTCAGTAGAGGAGGAAATGCAGAGAAACAGGAGGAAAAAGAAAAAAAAAATCTTTCTGGACTATACCAGACCAGCAAGCACAGTCTCTCCAATTCCCACAGTGTAACTTTCTTTCCATTTGCCTGAAATCACCTGCAATGTGCTTTAGGAGCTAATCTCTACACATTTGGTTTACTTGGCATAGGCCCAATAAAAGCAAGGATTCTCAATTACATTACAAGCCCAACCCGCTTTCTCACTTCGTCTTTTCAACTGCATGTGACCACAGCTACTGAAAATAGAAAATTAGCTACATTTACACACAAGTAATACATAGGAGCCTCCTAGATGGAAAAAATGGAACATAGTTACATGCTTTTTCCTATAATCCACTTAAAGTAATATTTCTCTCCCTCAGGGTTGTAATGTATTCAAGGCAGTTTCTCAGTAAAGAGGTCCAGGGCTATTCTGCTGTCGATTCATTCATGATCTGCTCTGATTTTGTGGTATCATTGAATAACTGAAGTGTAAATGCAGAACAGGCATAGCTGTCTATGTGTTTTAATGTATTTCAAAGGTTTTTTTATTTAAAGAAGAGTCTTATGTTCTCTTCTCCCTAGATATGCTGGGATTTTAGATTCCACATTTTCCAATACTTTTTGTTATACAAGACTAAGGACCATATATTTTTCATGAGATGGGGACATGGGATGACTGAAGATTAAAAAGTATTTGGTATGGCATGAATAAGAGTATCCAAGTGGAAAGGAATTTTAAGATTTAGATCTAAGAACGCAAATGCACCCAATGAGAACCACAGGCAGAAGTCTGAACCAAAACTTGAAACTACCCTCAAAGTCAGCACCCGTTATTTGAAGACATGTTATACTCATTGAACAGTAACAGATCAAAATGAAAGAGCAAGCAAAGCAAAATGAGATAATGAGAGCAAAGCAGAGAACATGCTCAGGGAGGGGAAAGGGAAATTGAGACATCTGTCATTAACATCTGACTTGCATGTCTCTTAATGGGCTTCTATTGAGTTCTATGCTACTCAACTGTGATTACTACAAAGAAGGAGTTTTCATATCTCAGAATATTCTGGATGGGAAGGGACTCGCAAGGATCAGCAAGTCCCACTTGAGTGAACAACCCATGGGGGATTGAACCCACAGCTTTGGTGTTTGCACCACACTCTCACCATGTGTAGAACTAAAGTATCTTGGGCTATTGCACACTGTTCACCTGAGAGAAACTGCAAGGCATTGAACAGATTCCTGTGATATTCCTACACTCAGATTTCAATCTTCAGTGATGCACAAAAGAAAAGCACTGGGATTATCAGAAACAATTCCCCTGAGCATCGGAGAAGGAGAATTTTTAAATCCCTTGGTCCTTTTGAAATTCTCTGCATGCCATTTCAGAGTAATGTATTGTTTTAAAAAGCCTGGTAGGGAATTCTCTAGAAAGCAAGAAGTTAGATTTCCTGGTATGCACATATGCAAACCTCTGACTCCTGCATTCTCATAAACCAAAATGTTGCAAATTTAGTCAAAAAACCCCCAAAAAAACCCAAAAAACCCCACCACATAAAAACCCCCAAACAAAACAAAAACCATAGCCACCAGAATGTACTACATTTACGTAAATATTTTCAGAAGACACATTATGCAGGTAATCCAATACAATCATAAAGAGCTGAATGAGGTTCTAATCCTGACATTAAAATACCCAAAATAGCTGCTTCAGGACGGAAAATAATGCAAAGAACAGAGGAGACAGTTAAAGTGCTAAAAGCGTTATAGGAACCTTTATATTTTATATTCAGGTGGTGTTTGTCATGAGCAGCCCACTCCCTTTTGGCACTGAATAATTCCCAGCATTTTCATATCAAATCTCAGATACACATATCAAAGACAAGTTTCTAATCTTGTAAGTGTGTTTAGAGAAAAGGAAGGAGAGCAAAAAATACCAATAAACTCCCCCTTTCACCCTTGTCCTCACCTTACTGGCCAATATTTCTTGTTTTTATCAAATATCTGAAGAATTCTCCTCCTAGACAGAGAAGACTAAAAGAAGGTAACTGATTTGTAAGTGCATCCTATTATGCTTTTATTTGATAAACTAAGATCAATTTCATATATATATTTCTCCAATAGCAGGCAAAATTGCAGTTCTAGACAAAAAAGTGTTTAGGACCTGCTACTTATATTGGCTTAAATGAATTTTACATTAGAGAGGAAACTAGACCTCAGAAATCATTTGTCTTCAAATTCCTCCCAGTTTTTACCAGAGAAGTAGGGTGAATCACTAAGTATTTGAGCTGTTTGTTCTCCTTCCTCACCTCATTGTGTTTGACATTAGATTAGTAGTGCTGTGAACACCATGTGACAATAATACTGAGCTCAAGACAGGGACCTTTATGTGCCAAGTAAAAAGATATTGTAAAATCTACATTTCACAATATGAACATTAAGTTTCAGAAACATGAGACTGGTTGTACCTTTCTTTGCCCATATTCTATTCTTCCTTCCATCCTATTCACTAATTTATTTCTTCCTCAGTCTTGTACTCCATCTCCCAAGCCTTCAGTGACAGCTTTTAGAACCTGAAACCAGTGTCAATCAATAGGTTCAGGTCAGCTGCCAGATCCATGGGATCAGAAAGATCAGAACACATTTATCCAAAGTCCAAGTGCAGTTCCTTATTCAGACAGCTATGCTGCCTGCTAGTTATTGGGTGGAATTGAAAACAAAAGTTATATTAAAAGACAGCAGGATCATTATTTCTCCTTTCTGCCCCACCTCCTCAAGTGCCTGAGGTCATTTTCCACAACAAAAATGAAAGCCCTTCTTGAAAGTGTTTTTGTGCTAAACAGCAGTGGTTAATTTCTTGCAACTAATTAGTTATTCAAGTGAAAGTATAATGATCCTCCAACATGATTGAAAGTGCTTCAGCTGAGTTTCCTGCTAACAGCATACTTGTAGAAAAGATGCAATAAATCAGCAGGGTTATGGAAATCTTTAAACAAAAGCAAGTCTATGACAGGAACCCATTAAAGATACAGCCATGTAATATTTATGCACCTAGCTGCCTCGTGCTTTTAACCCAGCACTCTCAGCTATAGCTTTTTAGCACCTGGGTCGTATTCAGTAAGAATGAAATCCACCCTATCTGCTAAGAGCCAGCACAATGTCTCTGCTTTAGGTGTTCAGTGTATAGGGCTTAAGGGATAGAACTTCCCTCCAAATGGAATTTCATCCAGATATTTCTAAATAAAAATACAAATAGAACACCTTTGAACAGCACAGAAAATGTAATCTGTGAGCCTCAAGCTCCCTGATTACCTTCAGCAAGAAAAGAGGCAGGCACTGACACAAGAATGGTTTATAAATCCAGGGAGGTATTGATGCAGAAACAAAACTTCTCAGAATAGCCAGTACCACCTATGATTGTTCAGATCAGGATTTGTGATTAGGAGTGGTTACCACAATGGTGATAGGGGATCTCTTGAGACTTTTACAGAAAGTCCTGACTGTGTAAAATGACATCCACTTACTCCTGAACCTACTAATTAATTTCAGAATTTTTATTTAAATGTGTTGGGTCCTGCAGAAAAGCAAGACCCTGTGGTTGAAAAGCCCATTTTGATAATGTTTGAAGTTTCTGGGTGCTACAGTTGTACTGATCTGTTTAAATCTCCAAAACAAAGAGATATTTCCCTTTCTTTTTTCACATTAAAATGTCTGCAGGTATGCTTGCATGTATTTTTAAGCACAAGTGCATATGAAGCAAAGAGAATTGTTTAATTTATTAACTTATTTGGCTGTACATGCTTTTCCTCATCCTGTTCACTCATTTATTTCATTGCCAATGCCCCAGTCAGTCTTCCCACAGTTTTAAAAGACTGAATTTGGATTCACAAACCAATTTGAGTTGAGGACTCAAATACAATTTCCTGGCCTACCTTTCCTTGCTGTAGCAAAAGTCTGGAAAAAAGAGAAACCTTGCTGCTGTGAGGTTGGGACTCTGGGAGGTGGGAATTGAAGGACAGAGAAAAGGAAACCAGACATCACTCCCCCTTTCCCACTAAAATCAACTTTGTCTTCACGATAGGTTTTTGGGCCAATGACCACTTTCAACTCACACCTTCTGTTGGAAAAACAAATTAGGAGTCCAGCTTTATTTTGTCAATAGAAAGTTTAAAGTGGTCACTAGAGCAAAAAGCTTTTCAAAGGGTAGCTGAGCTCAACAAGGACAAGGAGGAGGATGTTGAGAAAGCCACAAAAACACAGGCAGATTACAAACCATTAAAGGCTAGGCCATTTTCAATAATAAAGATAAGGCCTTAGAACAGTTCTGGTAATTTGTATCTATTTATTTCTTTAGAAGAATATGCATTACTTTAAAAAGCCTCTGTCAGAGCAGTAAAAGGTATTTTGTTTGTGTGTGTCAGTCTTGATTAAAAAAATCCACCAGAAAACAGTAAATTGACTAGGCATTTGCTCCCTGAATACATGGGATTATGCTTCACATTTGTGCTGTAAATCATTGGATCCTGTACAAGCAATTGTACTGCAATGGGTTTTGCTATGCTAAATATTTAAACTGTGTGCCCAGTCCTTCAAAGTCTGAGCTTATTCTGTGTTCAGAGCTTTTTAGAGTTGAGTCAATAGCATATTTGTTTTGAATGGCTGCTCCTAGATAACAGTAACAAAAATCCAAAACTTGTTTACATCATTTAACATGCCTAAGAGCTTAGCCTGAGACATTAAAAAAGCCACACAACAAGCAAGCAGAAAAATGCAATCCTTTAGAATAGTCTCTACTGGTGAAAAGAAGTTACACCATCAAAAAGCAAAAAGAATGTTTTGCCAACTCTGGACCAAGAATTGCTTTGTTTTTAAACTGGAGAAATGACTGGCATAAAAAGACTTCAAGGAATTTCCTCTTCTCCCTGAAGATAGTCATGAGCCTTTCTACTGCCACAGAGTTTGTGTTGCAGTGATTGCAAGGAGAGGTGCCTCTTGTGGGTCCTAAGCAGGAGCCCTTGTTTATCAGGGTGTGCAAAATGTGGATAAGAGTCAAAACAAGGCAAATCAGGCAATTCCATCAATCCTGGGCAAACTGTTCCCATCTGAGCAGTACCTTCAGCTCTAACAGGCTCTAATATCAGCTGTGTGGCAAATACCCCTGGCCTATTTTCTTACATTGATTTGCTACCTTAAGAACAAGGCTTCACCAACATGTACACACCAACACTCATGGGGTGCTCTACACACTCTCAAATTGCATTTGTGCTCTAAATTCTGCAAGTAAGGTGATGCTTTTGGGAACAGAGATGAAGCCTAATTTCTCATCTGTTTCAAATTACACATGAAGAATACCGAGGTTGTTAGTAAGAAATAGATTAGCATACAGAATTTTCACAAAGGAAAAAAAATGCAGAAATGCCAAAATACAATTACAGCAAAGGAAGTAATGCAACCAGGCAATGATTTACCATCCACACATTTTTAGAATAACAGTTCTAATTGTTAGAATCCAGTGCAGAGTAGTAGACACAGTATTTGAAAAAACAAGCCTTTCATATCTCTACACTACCTCGAGAGCTCCTGATACCTAATCTGGAAGCAGACAAAACTCAAAAAGGTGCCTCCTTTCCAGTGAAGACGTGACTTCCCCTCCAAGGGCCTGGGGCACTGTGCCTGAAATGCTAATAGCTTGAGTTGTGTGCAATAGCCCTATATTGTTTATATAGCACTTCACATGTTCAAAGCACTATGAGATATCAGCCATCACTACACTTTTATGAGGCTGTAAGTATTCCCCACTAAACATCAGGGTTCAAATGACTTGCTCTTGATCAAAAGAAACTTTGTGCAGCAGGACTATAATTATTTGAATTTGGTAATTCTCGCAGACCATTCCTATGGCAACACAGAATGAAGAGGGGGATGGGATATTAAAGCCAATTGCTATCGCACTCTGCGCTGGCAGCAAGATGGACACATGGAGGATCTCTTAGGCAAACCTACACTCACAGCACCTTTTATAGAAAATTATTTAAAAATCAGGAGCAAAAGTTAAACAAAAGGTTTTGAAAGCCCACAAGCATGTTTTTCTATATGTATCTATTTAACACGTTCACTGTGAAGAACATAAAGGACAACATGTAAATGGTACTGAAGTACTCCAGAAATCCTAAAAGGGGGTTCTGAATTCATTCTGAAGCAGTTTGGGAGGTTTTATACCAAGATTAGTAGGCAACTTAAAAGCAAGCCCATTTTCTGCAGAAAAAGAACTACAGTCTCCTGTCCTATGGCTGACTACAGTAGGACTCAACTTTTAAAAATATAGAATGTTTTTGCTCTCCATTTTTACACATATGTTCTTCCTATGAAAATTCAACTATGCTGACATTTATATTGCTAGTCTCAAAGTATCAAGTCTCTGCTCCTGAAAAAGAGCACAAACACAAAGGAGATGCTGAAAAACAACCAATGTATCCACAGTATATATGACAACCAAATAAAGGCTTGACATAAATGCTAGACAGGATAGTTGCTGAAGATTCTTCTCATTACAACTGAAATCACTTGATCCAAAAATCCAAACACTGAGATTGAAGACAGAATAAGAAAACTCTTATCCTCTGCCTTTCCATGCTGTGCCCATCCTATCCTACAATATTGTCTTTCCCACCTCTTACATTTTGCCTCATACACAGCCCTGGTTTCCACACACACCACATGTTTCCAGAGCACAGCTTTGCAGTTATTGGCCTTAGAACCTTGCCTGCAGGGTCACGTGGGAAATAGATCATACTACTAAGACAACAATGTAGACCACTACACACAGTCCAGATTCATCAAATGAGAAAAGGGTGCCTGCTTAAAACTATCACAGGAAGGGGGAGGGAAAGAAATTCTCTTCAAAGGCAGCAATGAGTGCAGAGAGAATTACTAACAGAGCTTCTTGTGTTTTAGCCAGGTTGATCATGTTGCTGTGAATATTTACCCGCTATCTTACAACTTTCACTTGGCATTTTTCAGGTACAGGCTACACAGAACTCTATGCCAGACTATGCTTGCAATTTCTACTGTTTTGATTAATATTGCCTGAAAAGTTAAATTACTGAAATATTTGCTAAAATATTAAAGTATAACATCAATAGGTGATCATTACTTCATGGCTATTAATGTAAGAACCAGTTACCATACTCCATCTACTGATCTAAAGAACAGATGTTTGCATATGATTTATGGACATTGAAATACGTGCATATCTTCCATAAATAGTAATGTGTTCCAGTAACCAAGAGTAGAGAATTGTGATCCATAAGATTGGGAAGTTGCAGGCAGTATTAGAATTTATTTACCAATTTCTTGGCTTTAAATAAAAAGCAAATCTCATAGAGCCAGGGCCTGAATCCTGTATGCTGGAAAAGTGCTTACAATGTCAAACAGGACTAACAACATGCAGTAATAAATTGCAGTTGGGCTCAAACGGGCAGACACAAAAGTCTGTTTAGAACATGAGTGCAACTATGATTTGTTAAGTAAGACTAGCAATTTATATTGATTGAGATGTAATAAATCTAAATAGTAAGCAAAAAGCCAATATTACTGTGTGTGCTCTCACATTAAATATGGACTTGGAAGTTTCTTTAGTATCAAGATTTAACCAAATACCAATCAGGTAGAACTCTAATGGGCAAAGCATAGTTTTGAGCTCTGCAATTAAATTATTTCTGGAAGCGCAATCAAATATCTGATTGAACTAATATCACTGCTGCTTCTCACATTTGTTCTGTTCCTAAATTAGCTTGGCTAATCAGTATCCCACCTCATAGCATGTGTTGTAAACATGTAATATTAGCTGATGGGTTTCATTTCAAGAGCAAAGTCAATTTTTGGACAGCAAACTTACTCAAAAACTTCATCAAAGCCTACAAACACACAAAGCAGCATGTTTGGAGATGTCACAGTTTCTAGGCCATCAGAACACTGATAAGACAGAGAACTTCAGATCACTCTGTGATGGCTGTGCATGTCAAACAAGTTTGATTTCGTTTAAAAACCAGTTTTGTGGACAATATTTCACCTGAAAGTGTTTTCTGTTTTTCCACTCTCTTATTCTATGAGCAAGAACCAGGAATGTACAAAAAAGCAGGCTTGTAGAATGTAGAATTTAAACATGGCAATCACAACTTTTTGCTCCTGTCTCAGGTTGGCATGCACTAGTGCTTCAAGATGTTACACAGCTGCTCCTCTTCCCCAGAGATGGCTGTACTCCAGTAAATGGTGAAATACTCCCTCAAACTTTTTTTTCCAAAAGAGGTTAAACAGAGACGTTTCCATAGGTCTAAGGCAACATGAAAACATGGTGATTGTGTGTTTGGATTTCTTGTAAAACATCAGCCTTAGATATACTGCATTAGGAGCTGCTGCTACACTCCAGCACACTGCAGAAACAACTGCAGTTATTGTCTGTAGAACACAGAGTCTTAGGTTACAGTGATTGTTATTTGCTTCTGTTCTTGCAGATTTTTAGATCACAGAAGAAACAAATACTTTTCATTTTGTCCTGTTGATAGCTGCACAGATTCTTTACTTTCAGCATACAACTCAAAGGCATCTAAGAACAAATTGAATTTCTAATAACTACAGTCAATGGGATTTAATTCCTTTCAGTGGAAGCACAGCAGTGTCAATACTTACCAGGATTTAGTATTACTGCTGATTTATTGAAAGTAAAATGTCAATACAACATGAAAATTTGTCATTTTAGAAAGGTTTAATAAAAATGATGAACACATCAACAACACAAAAAATTTATATTATAAGAACCAATAACTGATCATTCTAATTCACTTTTTTCCAGATGAGCATCCAGGTGTCAGCTGGTGTAAACCCAGATGCCACTGACATCAATGGAGCTGTGTCAGTTTACTCTAGCTGAGAATCTGATCCCAAGTGTGCCTCTGCCATTTTTAGACATTGCCCCTGGAATTCACTTCTGCAAGACAATTAAAAAAAACACATGCACACACTGCATTTCTTCCTGTCCCCAAGTGTTTAACTGGAAGTCTGTTGACAGTCTGTGGGAGAGGGCAAGTGGGAGGTGGAAGTAGCCAACAACTGCATCCATGAGATAACTTTGCAGTATCAGTATGAGCACTGTTCCGTTGTCTTCCTTTTATACAAACGAATATTTGGCTTCAGAAAGCTATAACTCCACCTTCCACTAACAAACAATTCCGTGTCAGTGAAAGAAAAATGATGCTGTAAACCACACGAAGTATCTACTTCATAAATTTGCTAACATAGTATTTTAAGCAGTACACATAGATTGTTTTAATGCACCATTAGAAAAAGCACCTAAAGCTGCAAGAGCCTCAAGGCCAAGTTCTGTGTATTCACCTAGGCATTTGTTCCTAAGCAATCTCCCCGCTGCACACCAGCAGTAAAGGTGGTAACAGTTCTAAGGCAGCTGTTTGAAGTGGCCTGCAAGCCAGACTGTGATCTGGCTGACATCTTCCATATCTCATCTGTGTGGGTGAGAGAGGAGGAAGAAGGGAAAAGGTGGGGCAATAAGCAGGGCAGAGTAGTACTTGACAGCTTTTCTAAACAGAGAGGGAGAGGGAGCTTTTGCTTCTATTTTACATAAGGCAGTTGCTAACATGAGTGCATTGTATTCCCAGCATTAACCACTACAGTGAAGTTGGAATGTTGGTTTTTGATTCAACATAGCAAGGTCAAAATGGAAAAGGTAATTAATTAGAACTGAAGATGCAGCTCACATAGTATTGAAATAATTGTCTATTTGTGCAAGCACAACAACCATATCTCCAATTTAGGTCAGGCCATCAAGAGGAGGAAAAGGATTGAAGACTGAGGATGAGATGCTCTACTTCACACAGTTGCCCTCTGGAAGGACTTGCAAAGGCAGTCACTTAAATTAAGTACAGGTCATCAGACAAGATATCTAATCTATTCCTAAGACAGGCAGCTCTAGCAGTCCAAATCCCCATGGCCTTTGCAGCGACACGATGAACTACTTCCTCGTGTACCTCTGTCAATTCACGTTAGGTTGCAGTTTTTTTAAAGCGATATTTCATGTACATCATGACCCTATTGCTGAAAGCAAGGAAAGTGCTTTGGTTTATTTATGACCTACTAACCTTAAATAAAAAAAAAATACATCCAATCTGAATGTTCACATAAGCCTGCAGATCTGAAATAAAATTTAAAATAAAGCTGGCATTTGTAACAGCTAGCTAAGCCCAATAAAGGATTTTAAAAAAATGAAAGCCAGATGAAAGAAGATGAAAGCATATTTACCCTGCATAACCTGCACACATCAGGAATCAGGGCTGGAATCCAGAAATACCTTTTTTACTTAGAAGTTTCAGCCCATTTCACAGGCTAGGTGACCAAGGAAATACTGAGGATTTCCATTATGGGGGGTGGGGTGGCATTATTAACAACCTGCAAAAGTAATTCCTTCCAAGATGAAATCCACCCAGCCACAAGCTCTACGCAGCTCCCCTCCTTCCCCTGCACCCCATCCCAATTGCCAGATATCAACCAGGCAAGCCCCCAACTGAAATATGAAGTGACAGATGGAAGCAGGGAATAAGGCCATAGGAATGAGTACTGAAAGAAATGGAGAACAGAAAACAAGCTTATAATAGGGTAGATCTTAAATATGAGCAACCCTTAATCATAAAGTTAATTCATTTGGCTAGAACAAAGTTGAACAGATGCATGTAAGACTGAGTTGGAGAGCCTTATTCTCTCATCACTCATGCCAGTGTGCAGAGGTCTTCTCCTAACATCCATGGAATTAAACTTTGGAAATTTCAGTACAAATAAATGGAGAACTAAAAATAATCACAGCTAAAGTATTGGCAGCAAATATCCTGTGCTGCTGTATTGGGAAAGGAAGGTGGGCTGCCACATTGAATTAAAATGTATTTGATTTAGCTATATTCATAAACAAAGTGGCCTTCATAAACAAAACACATCTAAGCCACCATAATAGTTGATTCTGTTCTGGTCTAGCTCTCCAGTAGGCTATATTAATGACTTTTTCTTTTAGCTGTATTCGATGGAAAATACAGTTGAGTCAAATAATGCAATAAATACCTCTACACGCAGAGCAATTCGTTGAAAGAAACAGTTAGGACCAAGTCCATGTCATAGTGTTTGTTTGCAAAAGGGGCTGGGGCAGCACACTGATCAACTCCTGTTCTTACGGGTGGGTTCCCTTAACACGAGTACAGACAAAACCCAAACATTTATAAAGCTTTATAAATAACAAAGGATGCGAGACACAGAGAGTAGAGGGCATCTTCATCCAAAGGATAAGGTAAATAAACAAACAGCAATTCATGTAAGTCAATGAATCAGTCACGGAATTTCAGCACAGTTAAGAGTGGACCTGGTAGAGAAGAATTCTGACAAGCTGAGCTTCAAGAACACCTGCATAAGAACTCTTCTCAAAATGAAAACCAGGTAAAATTTCTGGATTATCATGTTTTGTCTTCTTATCCGGCTTCTAAAATTCTTCTGCAACACAAAACCTACAACCTTAATTTTTAAGTATTATTTATTTTTAATAATAATTAAGACAATTGAGTTGGAAAGCTCAGAAGATTAGGAAAAAAGTGCTGTGTTATTGTGGAAATTTTTAAGAATAAGGACTTTACTGTAGGATGATCAGCTGGATGTGCACAGCATGCTGACACAAAAAAAAATGACAATAAATATAGGTCAAGCCTTGACATACAGTCACCTTTTTTCCTCCTGAAAACTATCACAACAAGTTCTGCATGTGTGAAAATTTGTAAAGAAAAAAAGGCCTACTGTCTCTGAGATATTTTTTGAAAAATTAAGCCTTCTTTAAAGAAAATTTATTTTTATCAATCCTAAACAAGTTTTTATCCAATTGAACCATGTCAATAGAAGAAATTTTTCTCAATTGAGCAATCTCTAATTGGCAACACTAATTTTTAAAACTCTTAGCCAGCTCTGTTCATTTATGGGAATTCATGTTTTGTTTTACTGTGAAGTTCAGTCTTGTGAAATAACAGACAACATTAATCCACTCCTGCCTGGATCTCTAACCTTTATTTTTAAAGCCTGAGTAAGAGAAACATATTTTCTTTTCATAGAAAGAAGTCTGGGAAACTGCCAGCTCCTTGCAGAAAGTCTGAAACATGATCAGCAGAGAAGGGTGTTGGTGTCGGTAAGAGAAAAATGATTCAAGTTGCATCATCTGTATAATTAAAATCACTGTGTGAATTGTGATTTTTCCCCCCTACTTTCAGAGATTTGAGGATGCAGTCAAGTCAATGGAGTTCTGTTGTAGTGGTTGCTTCAGTGAACATTCAACGCTGTCGGTGAGTTTGGAATTAAAGTGAAAACCATCGACCGTTGATTGTACCCTCCAGCTAACCATCCTCCTCCTTACTTCATGCTTTCAGGCCTTAACACCGAAGATAGCAACCTAACCATCTTATGATGTTTCTCCCTCACCCTGCCAAGCTTTACAAAAAAGGTCACAATCAACATTCATTGCTGTCGGTGGGTTTAACTATGTGGACAAGCTCACTGAACAATGAATGCAACTGTGGCCCCACATTGTACAGCTGCTGTTAAGAGGAGCAGCAGCTCTGAAGGCAATAGTGAGAAGCAAACACTTCTTACAAGCTACAGTTCTCTGGTCAGAAAAACACTTGGGGGTATCCACTTTGTGCTTGCTTGGTTTTGAGTGTGTTTAACTTAGCTGACTAGGAAAAAAACTTGCTGCCTTTTTCTGGAGCATTGTCCTCACAGGGTTCAGTACCATTGAAAATGTGAAAATTCTTATTTAGTATGTATGCAGAAAAAATAACAGGATAGGAAGCTCTGTATATCTACTCCTAAGGATTCTGACATAAGAGGAAAGAATATTTAATTGCCGTTTAACTAGGCAATGTTGAAGAGTTCAAAACTTTATTGTATACTTATGACAACACAATTGGGAACAAATGGGATTTAACTGTTATGGATAAAAATCTTACATCAAAAATATTAATTTTACATTAAACTGATGTTAAGAACAAAAATACTACTGCATTTGCTATTTTTAGGGATCTGAAAGATGACAAAGAAACATATCTAGAAATAATAATGGAAAAGCGGTTAAATTTTAAAGTTACTGTAAACCTAGTACCTATGTCATGCTCTGAGTTTTGCAATAAGAAAATAAAGTGTAAATAAGCTCACAACTGTGTTCTTATTTCTTTACAACCTTTTATTAACCTGGTCAGACACACAAAAGAACCAGTCTGCATTTCTCACTTCACACAATCATCCAAGGTAAGTTCTACCTTTAGACTCAAATACTCTGCAGCAGAAATTGCTTACAAAATCAGGAAAACTCACAGCATACCATCATATCACTCATATCATTCTTCTCATTATGGCAATGTTTATAAACAGTACTTTAGTGGGATTGTTTACAAAGTTTACTCAGCACATTAGTCACACAAGTACTCTTGTGTACTAAGCTTGCTTGGTCTATCCATGTTTCTCTGTGTAGGAACTGAACAGAAAAGTGTCAAGGCTATCATGGGACAATACATCTACAGCCACTTCTAGAACCGTTATCAGTCTAATTAAATGGTAGGAATGCATTTCAGCAGTTCAATCATGAAAGAGATCAGTCCTCTGTCACACGTGAAACTAACATTTATAGACTCAAAAAACATAACCACACTAGCAATATAAATCCTGAAATTATTTGGACATTATTTAAAAGCGGTATTTGGGAAGATTAGCTTTTTTTATTTCAATATTTACTGGAGAAGAACCCACATGCTCTGTTGCTCACTGAATGCTATCCTGGTCAGAGACAGAGGAGTAAAGCATTAAAAGGAAGTTGCTATGGATAAATGATTTCTCAGCAACGCTGTTCACAGATAAGCCTGTATCTTTATGTTTACCCATTTCTACAAAAATGGGAATTTGAATTACTACAGACTTACATATTGCAGGGAGATAAAGATCATATTAAAAGACTCAGAGGTATACATTCTGTCTAGAAAGAGAAAATTACAAACTAAATTGTAGCTAATATGTTTTTGCTACAAAACAAAGTTCTTTACTGAAACTTAAAAACCAGCTCTTCATTTTGCGAAACACTTATTAATGCTTGTTGTAGATGTGTTATGTGCCTTTAACAGAGAAAACACTGATAGAAACAGAAGAATCTGGAATTTCTCAGCACTGGGAAGAGCTAATATCCTGGACCATGAGTAGTTTCTGTATATATATTTTCTCTGCTAACTGATAATGCCTGAATGATTAGCATTGAGGAGGGACAGACTCCACTGCAAGAAAAAGATAACGTTACATCCTTTTTTAAGGCAGTATTTTCCCTCAAAACACACATCTCTCCTGATTTCGGTCATCATTTTGTTCCATATACTTACTAATGGAAGAAGAACTATTCATACTCCACTAAGTCAGGGTGCAGAAACCTCAGCCAGCATTGACCTAGGCACAGATAGCACAGATTGCAAATATGAAATATTTCCACCTTGACTGCAAGTTTCTACTGGTCTCTGAAGAGAAGAATGACTTTGTAATGGTGCCTAGCATGGGAATTTATCAGTGATTTTAGTTACACTGTGTTTTTGTACAGAAATGGAAAAATGTCTCCTTAGTGCACAGACACGTAGCACTTCATACAACCTGAAATCAACCTCTATAGACTAGTTACTTAATATTCACTGGAAAACAATTCCATTATTCCACTCCCCACAAGAAATGTTGGCTTGCACATATGTTTCCTTATGCTCTAAAGCCACAGAACAATCCCAATTTGGTGACGATAACTGTGATATACTGTGGAAAGGTTTCATGGTAATTTTCATGGGTTTTGTTAATAACATACATATGTACTCGGTACAATGCCCACAGGCCACAGAAACATTCTAGAAAATTGCTCCTCATTGTCATTGTAAATAATTCACTCACAGCAATATTTTTAGGTCAAGCATATCAAAGTTGCAGTAAATGCAATGGACCTTGACATAATAGGAGCACTGCTTTTACCGCAGTGGAGGAAGAGGAGAGGGATGCACTTGCCATCCATGAGGGATCAGTTGCTGCTCCCCAGCGTGCCCATCACCGTGCTTGAGTACAGCACAGGTGCCACTAAGGGCTTGTTATGAGATTTGGAGTTGCTGGGATTTTTAATTACCTCTAAGCTCTTTTTTTCTCCCTGGTTTCTGGCATAAGATGATTTAAAACATCCAACCCAACAGCTTCTGTATCAATTCTATAACTTCTGCTTAGCAAGTACAGAAACACACTTGGTTGTACCTCTAAAACCACAAGTCAAAGAATTTCTATGCTAGAAATAGTCTGTGATATTCAGGACCATGGCAGCATGAATATGATAGACTTGCTTTTTGGCACAGCTGACACCACAGCTTAACATCTCTTGCTTTACAGATGGTGAGGTGACACAGTAAGTTAAAGAGTTAAATATAGAAGTCATTTATAGTTGAAATAGAAGCAGTATCGAGACAATTTTAGACTCCAACCATGTCTTCTGGGAAAATAATAAAAGAACGCTCCTGCAATCCTGACTTGTACCTCATGTAAATACCTGTTTTTCTTGCCAACCACCTTTTTTTCCCTATTAACGTATATCTTGGTTCCTTGCCACAGTTACAATGGTAACCAATTATTTTTCCAAGCATTTGAATGGTCACACCCATTACAGAATAATTTTTACATCTTGCCTTCTCTTTTATTTAGGTTTGTGTAATTTTGTTTGAACGTTAGTTGTTTTTTTATCTTTCCATACATCCTCCTTAAGTGCAAGTGCCAGAAACTTCGACCACATTCCAAAGAGCCCAGCCAGGGCTAGCTGAAATAATCTGGTGTCTCTTTATTTTACAAGAAATCACTGATCCTTTTCAGCCAAAAAAAGCATTTTTAATGGCACCACACAGTTAACACATTTAAATTTATCTAACATTATTCCATAGATACAGGGTCCACAAGTTCTTTCCTAGTTTAAAATAGATTATTTCATCCCCTTGAAATGCACTACTTGCATTTTTTTTTTTAAATTTAAGAGGTTCTTTTTCACAATATAGCTCCTCTTCCTGCTCCCTCACCCTCCCCAAATCACCAATATTTTGAAAATTAGTGTCAGAAATTACATGGTAACACACAGAAGCAGGGATGAACTTAGAATACAAGCAGAAGCCTATCATAATTTAATTTAAAAAAATTAAACTTTCCATTTCTGCATTTCTCCCACATTATTTTAAGAGGACAAACTGAAAAAGAGGCAGCAGAAGCATAATGATTAACTTCTCCTGATGTCTGCACCTAAAGGGTATTTACAAGCTCAGTATTTCCATGGCTGTGGTAGAGCCTTCACTTCATAACAACCAGTTATCACACACTGAATAAAAATATACATAACAGAAAGTTCATGTTTGAGTTTAGCAATTATTGATCTGAGGAGGAAACATGGTAAGTCTTCAAATTGCACAGCTTTCAAATACAATTCTTATGGAAACTGACAGAAATGCCCAGTTTCTACATCTTCTTATGAGCCTGCCTTTGTATTGCTACTAGAAATGAGAACACCCTCTTCCTCCTCGATTTGGATATGAACCAACACCAGAAATTTAGGAAAAGCTTCAGGTACAGAAACTAATCCACACAGCCATGAGGGACAGAACAGAAACTGCCTGTATTTCAACATAAATCAGAAATAATCCCTCCAGTTCTGCAGATAGAATTTAGGTCCACAGAACATATTTTTATCTTTCCTGATTCTACTTCATGAAATGGAGCTGCTTCCAACATAGCCCTAAAATTTTTGATGTTTTAACAAATCTGCTTTAATCTAACAAGTTCACAAAGAGATTATAATGAGACCTGATGATATAAATGTCTGGGTTGTGTTTTGTTTGGTGGGGTTTTTTGTGAGTGCTTTTTTAATAATCTTTCTTTTTTCACTAGGAATGTCACACTACTCTTTATAATGAAAAAAATGTCAAAAATGGACCAGATAGCACAAATCTATGATACCAGTGTTCAGAAGGTTCAAATACCAGGTCAGGTAAAGAGGAGGGAGAGCTGGAAAGCAACAAGTGCCTGGCTTTCAAGATAGCGGAAGTTCCACCTTGCATTCAAGGGAAATCACAACACACATAAACTGCATATCTCAGCTATTGTGTCACCTCTGGGTACCAGAAATTTGTCCAACTAATCATACTATTCAGCTAATTGATTGCATGGATCTATTATTTACTGATTAAACAGTTAGAGCATTTTACCACAGGCATATTGAAACTAAAAGAAATACAAAAATACTTGTTTTAGCTAGTGAGACTTGAGTCCAGGTGGCTGCCCTCAAAAGTCAACATCACCATCTGATGTGTAAAACATTCCTAATAATCATAGAGCACACCCTGTGCTAATTACTCTGCTTGCCTCAAAATAATGAGCCATAGTAAGCCTCGAGTTCATGACAATAGATTTACATTTAAATGCCATCCAGTCCACTCAGTATCAATATGCTGCTGGTTACCAGACTGAGAGACATGAGGAAATTAGGCTCTCCCACCGACAGGGACAGTGAACACACTTCAAGGAGACCACAAACTGCTAGAGGGACAGCAAAACTAAAGAACTTGGAGAGATATTCAGGATATAACTGTAGGAGATAGCAGGAGGAAAAAAAAGACATTACTTTATAGACAACAGCCAGCTGTGGCCTACAGCAAATCTTAAAAGAAATCTTTGCAGACTCTCCAGGAATATCTCTGTACATCCCCAAAACAATAGCAGGAGATTGTTCCAGAAGTTCATGTGGATCATGGTCTGCTACCTAATGAATTCAGATTCCCTGCTGGTTTTGGAGTCAACAGTTTCAGTAAAATTATGCCAGTTTGTGCAAGCTGAGGATTTGGTAAGCCAACATACAAGAGAACTGTAAAAGAAGTATGGTCCCACACATCCTACACTAAGGGAAAAAATGCAGAGGTAGATGTCACTCTTGGGGGAGGAGGAAGAGGAGAAACAAAATAACATGTACTTGAAAAAACACCAGTTTCCACCTACAGAGAGAGCATTTCTGCCCCCAGACTGTGGGTGCCCCACACAAACAGCACTTGGACACTTCACTACTCCATAGGTGCAGATTACTGCTTGGCAGGTACAAATAAGGAGCTTCAGAACACAACAGGCAGGA